ATTCGAAAAATTATAAATTTGCTAAAACATTATTGTAAATAATATCATAATATGTATTAATTATTTAACAAGCATATTTTTAGCGTGAAATCACTTTGATTAAAATATTTGAGGCTCAGCASTTTCAGGGCAAGCACTTATGTGAATAGAGTGTAGCCATGCTACTTCTACAATATTAATTTATGAATTTTTGTTATACAAATAATTGAAGCAGTTTATGTGCTCATAATTGTATTATTAATTTATATATTTTATTCTTTATTACGATTCCTTCTGATGATTGTATTTTAAGTTTAAACTTGAGGGTGAATTTATGGGGGGCGATGTACCTCTTCACGACTTCAAATTCAACTGTTAATTACAGTCAAGTCTTCATTGTATCTAATGTATTTGAAAAATATTTCTTTTCATCCCCGCCTTCCTTAAATAACAAATTTTAAATCCACTCCTATACAGACGTGTCRGTAGATTGAAAACTTAATTGGATTGTGCAGTTATGCTTTTATGATAATTATTCTTACTTGAGAATATATTAAATTATGGCATTTAAAAAATTCGTGTTGGTCGGTTTGTCATATTTATTGAATTCAACCTCTAGTAACATTTTCTGGTAAGGAAAAGGAAAACAAATATTGTCTAACCATGATATTTGATATACTGATGGTCATTCCAACAATTTAAAAAATAAACCAAATGGATGTTAAGTTAATATTGAAATTAAATTTAAAAGAAAAAATATTATAATTTTAATTCAACAATTCATTATTATCATAATTTTATAAGTTTTTATAATGTACCTACTAGTATGTAAGAAATCAATTATATTTATTAATTATAATCATATTTTGTATTAAATATTATAACGAAATATAAATTTATATTATCTGATTTAAATGTTTGAAAGTTTGATAAGTACTATTTGTTTGTATCTAATTTATATTCGTAACTCAGGGATCGGCAATCAGTTTCTAAGGGAGTCTAGGTGATTTGAAAAATAAATTTCAAAGTCCAAAAACCATTTTTTTTTCAGAGAATTTAATTTTTTTTTTTTTTTTTGGTAAACAATTTATTTTGGTCCTACACAGAGACAAAGTATTAAAACAAATCAGCATTAATACAAAACATTTTTGGCGTTCCATTTATTTCATCTCTATCGCTTTTTGCCGACCACTGACCTAACTTATGATTTAAATATAGTTTTTAATGTTTTTATATGTTAATAGTCAATAGTCATAGATTAAGTTTTTTATTGTGTTACATTATATATTATTATACACAATAATCATTATAATTCTTATAAGAAATAAGATTATTTACTGTATAAGGTATGCCAAATGTAATTTAATCATCATAATATATGTTATGTGGTGACTTTTTTAACACTTGACAATAATGTCAACTTATTGAATAATAAAATAAAATAAATATAAACTTATATGGTAACGTAATCCAYATTAAGAAGTACCCACTGTATTGTGTTATTAAAAATAAAAATCATTGAATGTCTTATTAACAATTTTGAATGTTAAATTGCTATTAAAAGGACTGGTAATCTATTACAAAATATTAATAAACATTTATCGCTATTGGTTAAAAATTTAGGCAGAAACAAAAAGATGAATGGAGCCATCTAAGAAACATACAAAATGTTTAACAATAATCAACTACATCAAAATAAATACAAATGTTCAGAGTATGTATGATAATGTTCAATCCTGATGACATATAAAGAAAATTAAAATAATATTATTAAAATTGTCGTCTATTGGTGGTAGTCCAAATCCTGAATCATTAACAAATTTTTATTATTGCAATTTGTGTTCAATTACTTTGTACATTTTAAGAGTTCCTTTTACTGTTATTTTACACAAAACGTCCAAGATTTTACTAGTGTCAAATGTCTGACAGTGAAATCT